ATGACTACGGATTGTGTGCGGGCGGCCTGCGGAGTGCAGGCAGAGCTGGGCCAGAGGCTGGTGCGGCATGGGGGACATGGCTGGGATGGGGGCCGGAGGTGGCTCCCCAGGAGAGCGAGCAGATGGAGGACAGAGGCGGCCAGGCCTGGGCTCTGATTCTTGTAGGGCGGGCAGCACGATGAGGAGGATGGGGAGCGGGGACCCCTGGTGGACATGGGAGAGTGGTCGCTTCACCCCACAGCTCCTGGATGTTGTCGGGGATTCTGGCCAGAGCAGCTTGGGGACCTGGGTCCGGCAGTGAGGTTTCCCTCCTGCAGAACTTCCCGGACCGAGCCTGCTGGGGTGACAGTTTTCAAGGGCTCGCCGGCCTCGGGCAGCCCCTGCAGGCAGCCCCTGCAGGCAGGTGGAAGACCCGGGGCCTTCTCACTGTCAGGGCGGGGAATGGGACACGGTGGGCCCGGGTCCCCTCCTGCTCTGCCTTGTGTTGGGTTTAGGGGAGCCCCCTCGAGTCCCTGGGGACCCGGGCACCCTGGACCAGCTGAGGCTCAGTGGAGGTGTTGGGTGCGGGGACGCCTCATGGCACCTCTTGCTTCTCCCCTCAGGGCCCTCTTGGGCCACCATGAAAGGCTTGCGGGCCACCAGCCAGCCCCCAGAGGGCAGCCTGGACGGTGCGGACCTGAGTCTGACGGGCCTCCCACCTCCGGTGTCCAGGCGCCCCAGCAGCGCCTCTGCCGCCAGACCCATGATCCGCTCCATCTCGGCCACCGCCAGCAGTGAGCCAAGGAGGAAGGTGCCGGTGAGTGTGGGGCCCAGGCAGGGCTGGGGGGAGGGGCACTGCTTGCCGGAGGGCTGTCCTGCTGGGGAACCACATGTGCACAAGTGCCTGTGGCCACCCTGGGGACAGGAGGCCTTGCAGAGCTGGGGGCAGACTCCTTGGAGGCCCCGGCTGGGCCTGGCCCGGGGCAGTCTCCAGCATAGCGCTGACCCTCCTGGGCCATCCTTCTTCCCAGCTGTTTGAATCCTTAAGAAACAGAGTTGACCTGAGGGCGGCGTAGGACCCCCGGTGGGCGTGGAGATGCCTAGACTGGCAGGCGGGTGGGCCGGCCGGGACCAGCCAGGTGGCAGTGGGAGCTTCTGGCAAGAGCTGCCCCCCTGCTGGAGGGAGGAGGGGTAGAGGTCGCTGTTGGAGGCCGGGAGGCCGTTCCAACCGAGAGAGAGGGGACAGTCAAGCTGCCCTGTGGGGTCGGGGCAGTGCCTTGAGGCTGACCTGGGCTTCCAGGATGGGATGGGGCCTGCAGCAGGTCTGCGCTTCAGCCTAAGGTCTGCGAGGCATTGTAGAGAGGCTGGCGTGTGCCCGAGGCCTCCCTGAGGAGTCCGTGGTGGACGTGTGATGAGTGGCGTGGCGCGCTCTCTTCTCCTGGGGAAGCTATTGCTGTGAGCACTCTGGAAGCCGGGGAGTGGCGGGGAGGGAGTCCCTGCTGGCCGCTCGGACAGCACGTGCGGTGAGGGAGCCTTGGCGCAGACAGTTCCGGGTGACGGGACTGGTAGGGCAGGGACTGGGACATCCTGTGGCGCCTCACGTCACCTGCCTGTCTGGGGCTGGGAGGCAGTGGCATTTAAGCAGGAGGACAGCCAGCCCAGTGACGCTGACCCCCCTGCCCCCTCCTCTGGGGCCACCTGTTGCCCTGAGCCCTCAGCTCACAGAGAGCCTGGAGGGAAGGTGCCGTCAACGTTGCAGGCGCCCGCCGCAGACAGTGGGGGCGCTGTCGGGCTTTTTAGGAGCAGCGGCAGCCTTGGTTCTGCTGCAGGGCAAGGCTGTACCTGGCCGACCTGAGCACCTGAGGCCACCTCCTGCCTTCTGCCAGGGGACACACCCATTCCCAAGTACAGCCCAGAGCCAAGGTGGGCATCAGTCATACCAAGGCCTTTTCCCTTGGGGACGGCAGCTTTGACCTTCCCCGGTGGAATGTTCCAGCTGCTCGACTCTTTCTGCCACTGGTGCGATCCGGGACGCCCCGCCCCCACACAGGCCCCAGCCCTGAGGCGCGGGCAGTGTTGCAGACAGACCCAGCTGCCGAGGCCCCTCTCCAGGAGCTCTGTCCTGCCCAGTGCCCGTCCTCGGCTCTGTCCTTGCTGCCACGTGTCCGTGGCCACCTTCCTGCTGGTCTTCGTGGCTGGCTGAGGTGCCCGCCCAGACTTGGGCCCATCTTGGCGACGGGATTTCCTCTCCATCCTGTCTCCAAAGACCCTCCTCAGTCCTAGCCTTCTGTCCCGAGTTCCCACGTGGGATGTGGCCTCTGGTCACTGCTGGTCTTCTGGTCCCAGGGCAGAAGTGTGGGCTGAGGGCTGGCCTGAGCTGCTCGCCTACCTGTGCCCCTCGCCCTCCGAGCCCCGTCAAGCATAGCGGCCTTTGAGCCCTGCATCCGGGGGAACGGATGGGAGTCACCGTGTGCCTTGTCTCGGGCTGCGGTGCCCGTGTCCCGGCTATGAGGCCTGTCCTGCTCACAGGTGAGCGTCAGGGCTCCTAGTCCTTCCACCACTCCCTTCCAGCATGGCACTTGGCGGTGAGGGGGGACCCATCCTCCCCGCACGTGGAGGCTGCAGGATTTGGGGAAATCTAGGAGAGGTGAAGGTCTTCCCCCGATGAGACGGCTGGTCTTTTGTGATGTTTTCCGAAGTCTGTGCGTGTGCGATGGGGTCTCTGCCCTGCCTCCGCCTCCTGGTCGCTGGGCCAGGGTGCTGTCCTGCCTTCGGCATTCAGGTGGGCTGGGAGCAGAACCCAGCCTCCCGTGTGGCCCAGCCTGCCACACAGCAGTGTCCACCACTCACTGCTGCGGTGAGGCCCATGTATGTTTAGGTAGGTCACATGTGCACACTGGTTCGGGGCAGAAGGTAGAAGAGGACGTGCCTGGAGAGTCAGCCCGCCTGTGACCTTGCAGGCATCTTCCCTTGGGGGGCTGTTCAGTGCCGCGGCCCCTTCCACTGATGTACACACAGGCCTAAGTATATGCAGTGTGCATGTATGCAGGGGGCAGTGTGCACGCCCATGTACAGAGGTACATCTAAGGGTGCATGCAGTGTGCACACATGCAAGATGTGTTGTATCCGTATATGGATGTTCATGAGTGCACATGGCACATGCGTATGCACCTGTGTAAGGGTGTCTATCTGTGAACACATGTGATGTACGTGCATGCAGATGTGTGTACCTACACATGGGTGTGAGTGCATGTAGTGGACACATATATAGACGTGTGTGAAAGTGCACGTGATGTGCACATATGCAGAATGTGTGTGCCTGTGTCTGGAGTACACACGTGAAGTGCACGTACCCATGTTCGGGACCACATGTGTGCGTACACACATGCAGGTGTGTGTGTGCAAGTGCATGTAGTATGTATATGTGCAGATATGTATACATGAATGTATGCAGTGCACAGGTATGTGGGATGTGGTGAGTACCTTCCTTTCTATGGATATACATATATGTCTGCATGTGGTGTGTGTGTATGTAGATGCAGTGTGTGCACGTGATGTGCGTTTATACAGATGCGGTGTATGCATGCAGTGTTCGTATGTGCAGAAGCGGTGTGTGCATGCAGTGTATGTGTCTGCAGATGCGGTGTGCATGTGGTGTGTGTGTGCAGATGCAGTGTGTGCATGCGGTGTGCATGTGTGCAGATGTGGTTTGCATGTGTGTGTGCAAATGTGTGTATGTGTGTGTGCAGATGCGGTGTGCGTGTGTGCAGATGCAGTGTGTATGTGTGTGTGTGCAGATGCGGTGTGCATGTGTGTGTAGATACGGTGTGCATGTGTGTGTGTGTGTGCAGATGCGGTGTGCATGTGTGTGTGTGTGCAGATGCAGTGTGTGTAAATGATGCTTGCTGTGCATGTATGCAGGATGTGATGTGTGTCCCTGTGTTTGGGTGTACATATGTGAGTACATGTAGTGTGCATGTATGCAAATGTGGGTGTGTACAGGAGCACATGTGGAGAGTGTGTGCAGGTGTGTGTGTATGCCAGCGTGTGTAAGTGCGTGTCTGTAGGTGTGCATGCATGCAGGATGAGGTGTGAGTGCCCGTGCGTAGGTGCACGCATGCAGGATGAGGTGTGAGCGTTGGTGCATAGGTGCACTCATGCAGGATGAGGTGTGAGCGTTGGTGCATAGGTGCACTCATGCAGGATGAGGTGTGAGTGCCGGTGCATAGGTGCACTCATGCAGGATGAGGTGTGAG